AAAACCATAGAGTACATTAAACCACATAGTACAGCTCACCTCCTAAAACCATAGAGTACATTAAACCACATAGTACAGATGGGACAGTGAGTAATTCACCAGTTGGAGCTCAGTTGTCGTGGGTTCCAATCACCGCGCACAAGGGATTCCTTCTGTCATGAAATCTCTGCAGCCATTTCCTAGTTTTCCATCAACGCCTATGTATTTTCACGCCGTTAACAATTCTAGGTATTTTATACCATTTTCCCAAACTGCTAATTGGATTTCTTTTAATTTGGTAAACTGGGTTAACTGGATTACGCAAAAACAATGTTTTGTTTGAAATATTACAGTATGTAAAGTCAAGTTGACTTTAATCTACAGTCAAACGACATTCTAAGGTTAAATTAATTCTAACGTATAATCAAGAAACAATAATAAGTTGTTTCTAACTTAACAGTCAATCCAAATTTTAGAAACTAAATTGATTTCAACGTATAGTCAACACAATGTTTAAAGGCAACTAGAATGACACTAGAGCCTATAAACACCTCTCGATTTTCCAATTTTTACAACGAGAAGTTTAATAAGTTAAACAAAGATCCTCTGATCGAAAATATTATCATGAGCTTTAACTTCCGATACATGTCAAATTTTCTGATCAATGTTGATTTAAATCAGTCCGAATAACATAAAAACAAAGTGTTTTATTTATCAAGGTGGGGATCCGTTTTGTTTCATCAGTGTACACGGGAGGGGTCGTACCTGGCGAGTACATGGGATCGTGGGATCAGAGGGGTAGATCACGTGTGAGATGTTTGTTTTTTAAATAGCACGTGCAGACAGCCGTAATTAACAGATTGAGAATTAATTGGTAAAAAAATATCACATGTTTACTCACTGTGAACTCTCTGGCTCAGTCAACTGTCTGCGTTTTCAAGCTGGATGTTTGAGTTTACAGAATCGGAGGGGATTTTACTAAAGGGTAGTATAACACTAAGCATTGGTCTGAATTGGGTCCAACGGCAGTGTAGAGAACTGACCTTTAATTATAATTTGTCCACGATAGACTATCTCACAGACCACTGGTATGAATTATGTCAAAAGACAGCATACTGCAGTGACAAATAATCATAATTTGTCCACATGAAAGTCTCACCCATTGACCATTGGTCAGAATTCGGTCAAACGTCTGTCCAGAGCTAGGGTGCACGCGCCTATTTTACTGACCAGTTGTAACCGTAGTGAATCTATCAGGGACTTTTACTCAACGCATCTTTTATTAGACAATGAAATCTCTAAAACACACATTCGTTCCAACAAACTCCTATCTACCCTGATATAATGAGGGCATAAAACTCCTATCTACGGGTCAGTTATGACGTCAAAAAAAATTGGAATCTTAAACTTCCTCCCACACGCCTACACTTTGGGAACCTCCGAGTCCCTCCCCTACTCCCCGCAACAACCCTCTCCAAACTTATTTCCAATCTGTTATTACTGTAAGTTGAAAATTATTTTTTATGCGTATCTAATTACTTATAAATAATTGTTTTATTCTTTTTCTGAAAAATATTTAAAAAAAAAAATAGAATGAGTTGAAAAAAATTAATTTTTAAAGTATGCAATGGATGATATTTTTTGTTTTTACTTTCTCGTATATACGAAGTATAGAGAAAGTATTGTAATCGTGCACAAAAATAACATGAAATTTTGACAGTTTTCACATTTTTACTCCTCAGTCCTTCATCACATCCGGAGTATAGAGGACTTATTTTAATCAGGCAAATATTATAAATACAAATATATAAACGTTTTGGCGTTTTATGCGTTATCGAGTCGTAAAAACTGGACTTTGCAATTCTGTCGGTATGTCTGTGTGTGTGTGTGTCTGTGTAAACACGATAACTTGAGTACCGTTACAGCTAGGTTGATGAAATTTCATATATAAGTATTTTATCAAAATCGTAGATCCTGATCAACTTTTGAGCGATTTCCAATAAGCGGAAGTGGTACTTTTTCTACTTTGAATTTTTCAAAAGCCTATAAATTGAGTACTATTTCAGATAGATAAATGAAATTGTACATGTAAGTAAAAGATCTAATTCTCTACCTTCTTTCAAATTTTGAGTAATTTCCGTTGATTGAAAGTACTAATTTACGCTATTACCGATTTCTCAAAAAACGAATGTAAATTTATAAAGTACTAATAATATTCCACACTATTATCCACGTTTTATTTGGCGTTCACAGGTGTGCAGTTCTTTTTTCTTCGAGATTTTATTCTATTTTAAAAAGTTTAAGTATTTAAAATGGATTAAAATTCATGTCTTAGTCCCGAGTTCCCGTCACCTGTTTTTTTATGAAAGAATATTCGAGAAAGTTTAGGGGAGATCGCTCCCGGTTTATTTAATTATTTTTTTTCCTACTCATTGCAGTGAATGAAAAATTAATTTGTTTTCTGGAAAGATTTTAAAATAAATGTTTCTGTTGATGTAGGTTGCATTGTAATAAATCATAAAATAACATCAAGGTCATGTCTATATAATTTGTTTCCTTCATCGTCTGTGTATAGTGGAAGTACCAGATTTATTAACAGAGATTCCACGAACTTTTTTTTATTCTTGCGTATAATAAGTTAGCTATAACATACAAAATAAACCGGGAGTGATCTCCCCTAAACTTTCTCGAATATTCTTATATAACACTAAGGGGGATGGCAACTCGGGATATAGATAATATTTTTAACCAATTTTTAACTACTTAAATTTTTAAAAATAGAATAGAATCTCGTAGAAAAAAAGAATTGCACATCAAGTGAACGCCGAATAAAATTTGTATGATAGTGCGGAATATTATTAGTACTTTATAAATTCACATGCGTTTTTTGAGAAATCGGAAATAGCCTAAATTACTACTTCCGGTCAACGGAAGTTACTCAAAATTTGATCGAAGGCAGAGAATTAGTATCTGTGAAATTTCATTTATCTATCTCAGATAGCACTCAAGTATTAGGTTTTGAAAAAATTAATAAAAAAGTAGAAAAAGTTCCACTTCCATTTATCGGAAATCAATTAAAAGTTGATACGGATCTACAAATTTGACATAATACTTATATATGAAATTTCATCAACCTAGCTGTAACGGTACATAAGTTATTGTGTTTACATTTACACACACATACACACACACACATAGACATACGGACAAGAATGCAAAACTATGTTTTTCCGACTCAGGGAGGTGTAAAACGTCGAGATTTGCAAAAATCTCGATTTTTTTGTGCACGATTACAATACTTTCTCTATACTTTGTATACGAGAAAGTAAAAATTTGATGATTAAAGTTTTACGTATGTTTGTCAACTTGGACTCGACCCTTCCTATCTGACCCCCTCCCCCCCCCCCCCCCCCCCAACAAGAAAGGTAGCCTCATGTAAGTTTAGCTCAGATAAGTTAAACCTGAGAGTTAATCACAGCCCTAAACCCGGTCAGACTGCCATGATTTAATTACATTAAGCCGCGTCAATCAACGAATGAACACGGTGTGGGATACACTTAATGAAATCAATGCTTAACTACTCAGCTAATTAGCACTAGTGTGAACGTACGTAGATCATATTCCTTGTCTGACAAATTTGCAAACGTTGCATTTATGATATGGAAACCTAAAAATCGGATGAACAAAAATTGCTGAAATGTTACGCATTTAGATCACAGCACCAGTGTTTTGTCATTTGGAACTCGATGTTATCTAGTAAACAATGGTCCTCATAAAGTAAAGAGCTAGCATAGACCACCGCGCAGGCTAAATGACTAGGCTAAACTAGAAAGTCAAGTAGGTTTGTAGAACAAAACGGATGCTAAAAAAATGCCAAAATACTGTCAATTAAAAACAGTTTTATAAGTTTTATAACTAGCTTTATATTTGCATATAAAAATCAAGAAATGATTTTCTTTAATTATATCATATCATAGCGCACTACATTTTAAATAACTGAAGAGAAAAATGTGAATCGCTTACACAATGTTTGCTCGGATGTTCAATATCTGATATGAGGATCCCGCGCTTTGCTTTTTAGTTTATTAAAATAGTGGCCCAACTTTACAAATTTAAAGAACATCATTTAATTTTTTTCGTTTTGGTGTGTATAAAAAGGCTTGTATAATAAAAGTGTTTTTTTTTTAATTTAATGTTTATTTATTTTTTACATAGAATCAAATTGCAAGACAGCAAAAAAAAAAAAGCGCGCCAAATGATCCTACTGGGTTGTATTTAATCGCACGATAAGAATAGAAATGTATATAGCAAACTTTAATTAATTTTTAAAAATTAATTAAACGTAAAATTAAAATTATGTCAAAGTTCATGCCCCATTGCATTGTCACCGGGCATTGACCTAAGTGCCCAGTGTGAAAAAAAAAATCGGTTTGATAGAATTTGTTGAAATTTCGCTCTCAATTTTCGACACAAGACCATATAAAAAGCATTAAGCCTAATAAATCAAGTTAAACAAGCTAGTAAATATATGATAAGACATTCGTCTTCCGAGTTTAGATATCAAGAACTCTTCACGCATTTTGTATCCACCCAGCAATGCAAACAAAGCAAATAAAACCAGAAATATTTTGGCTAACAAATTTCTTTCTTTTTATCCAATCTAAATAAATTCAACAAACATGATATAACTCATAAACTTGCATTAAAATAAGTAAATCATCTGTTTTGATAATGTTTTGTTAGCTTTTAAAAAACAGTGAGGCAAACATACTTCATTATTTAGAACCGAAAGCATGTTAATTTGTTTGCGCTTCACAAAGAAAAGCTAAGAAAAAAAAATCACCAGCAACTATTTTATACTTCCAAAACGTAACTTAAATAAAGGCAGAATATCTTTACAATGACCATCGGATCTTGGCGACACGAACAAAAATTATAAACAACGCCGAAAGATCTCGATGGACAGAAACAGGATCACAACGAACACAGAAAAGATCATCAAAGAACCATCAAGATCTTACCTTGAGCGTGCACTAAAACGACCATGAGTAGAAGACTAAATAAAACAAGAGCTGCGTTGGTCGAACTTGTCAACGATGCGTTAGCCATTTGGTTTTTTTTTGTTACTCTGGTCTTCAGATGGGATGGAATTCAACGTGCCTTCAACAAGGATGGTATCAAAACTTTCTTTGAACTCGGATGGTATCAACGGTTCTTTTATCAGAGATGGTATAAACGTTTCTTTTAGGTTCAATAGTATCAAAACCTGAATAAACTAGGGATAAGTATTAAAATTACTTTGAAGTTTCTATTTTAAAAATCTATATCAACTGATGCTTTTTGCGTGATATCTTCTTTAGAATATTTCTAGTATAGAATCTCTCTATTTAAGAATCTCAAGTTTCGAAGTGTCCGAAATGAAAACTCCCAGAACCTTTTGACGATGCTTCCAAGTTGACGAAAGGCCCTACTTCTCCCCCTGGGTCTAGTCTGCAGCGGTGAGCAGCGCGAAATGTGAGTGCTGACGCCGTCGGTTATGTCTGCGACACTTATAGCATCACCTCTGTGATTGGTGCCACCAACTCGCGCACTCCAAAAAAAAAAATGTTAAAATAAAAAAAAAAGTTATTTCTTTTTTTCTTTTATAAATAAACCAGCAACTGTTTATAATAAACCACCACCCGCCGTTTTCACCGCCACCACGCGCGTGTACGTCATCAACAAAATGGCACAATAATTGATGACGACTGTCACAGCGAGGCTGCCATTTCACCTCGTGACCAGCTCGCGCCGTGACGTAGCTCGCGTGATGCCGTGGTCTCTACCCCCCCTCCCCAAGTCTCAACATGGAAAGACTCAACTAGCAATTATTTTGTAGGCTAGTATTAACATTTAGTATTTTCATCATGTGTTCATTTATAAAATGGACGAGGTTTACAAAAGTACTTAAATTAGTTGTTAGTACTCTAACACCTAGGCAGCTATTGTATATTTTACGAAGTTGGGGTTTACAGAAAGTTAAGGAGCGATAACGAAAGAAAGGAGTTAATTCTGGTCACACGCCGACAAAATCTAAAATTCTAATAATTAGACAATATTTAGGTTTTAATTAAACAACTAAAATAATACCATCGATAAAAAATTAGAACTTGTTAAATTACTGTAAATTATTTATCAAGTGTTTGAATTTTAAATAAGGAAAATACCGGCTGTGAATATGTTGGCCGTTACAAATGGAAAATATATTCTAAGGCAATACTACCTTGTTTCCAGGTTCCATCCGCCTATCATGGGTTAGTAATGTTGAATTTCAGAGACTAAACAATATTGAACAGGAGTATGATAGGGGGGGGGGGGGGGGGCTGGAGGGATTTGCAACTTAGGTTAGGCAACGGCGATTGAGTTACCTGAACATAAAGAGATCACTGTTCAAAGATTTAAAGTTGTATTCATTTACAGATTTAAACAAAGTAACAAATGTCCGTTCAAATTTAAATTTCTATATATTAGGTATTTAATATACCTCACGGTTTTCTAAATAAATTCGAATCAAATACTAAGAAGTATTATATACAGTACTAAATACACGTTTTGGTAAAAGTTCGAACGTACACGTTTAAAATAAACCGGGAATGATCTCCCCTAAACTTTCTCGAATATTCTTATATAACACTACGATGGATGGCACCTCGGGATATAAACATTATTTTTAATCCATTTTTAATTACTTAACTTTTTAAAAATTCATAAAACCTTTTAATAACAAGCTTTTATGTAAAGGTATCCAATAGATACTAAAGTGATCCACTCTTTTCTTTATAGTTATTTAAATAGTAGTGTATAATTTATTTTCTCCTTTTTAGTGCATTATTACATAAAAGCTTGTTATTAAAACGTTTTTAATGTTTTTTTTAAAAGTACTACACATGTTTTATTTACACTGTAGTTGCATGACCCAACTTGACCCACGTACCAACAACGAACCGTATCTGTCAGTTGGAATTTCCTGCAATTTCGCTCGGGCGTTTCGATCTAGACAGAGACTGACGAAAGACTAATGACTGGACCGACAGAGGAAATGAGTTAAATAAAAGCTTGTAAAAATATAATAGAATCTCGTAAAAAAAAAAGAATTCCTCACCAAGTGAACGCCAAAAGATCTGTTTATAATAGTGCAGAATATTATTAGTACTTTATAAATTCACAGTAAAAAAGGGAAAAAATGTACACAAAGCTGCTATACTGAGTCGATCAACAGACTAAAATCATCATGCAGAAAATTAGTCAGTCAACCAGCAGTCTAAAATCATCATGCAGGAAATTAGTTAGTCAACCAGCAGACTAAAATCATCATGCAGGAAACTAGTCAGTCAACCAGCAGACTAAAATCATCATGCAGGAAACTAGTCAGTCAACCAGCAGACTAAAATCATCATGCAGGAAACTAGTTAGTCAACCAGCAGTCTAAAATCATCATGCAGGAAACTATTGTAGTGAGTCAACCAGCAGTCTAAAATCACGATACAGGAAACTATTGAAGTGAGTCAACCAGCAGTCTAAAATCACGATGCAGGAAACTATTGTAGTGAGTCAACCAGCAGTCTAAAATCACGATGCAGGAAACTATTGTAGTGAGTCAACCAGCAGTCTAAAATCATCACACAGGAAATGCACGTCGTGTTATTAGCAGGTTGATTGAAGTTTTTCCTGTTTGGATGACGAGCAAACACAAATGTTTCAACAGCGGTGAAAACTATGACCCGGATATGACGATAAGAGACATACTGCGCATGTCACAGTTGAAGTTAAAAACTCATTAAAAGGGAGAGAAAAGCTCGTTTTTCTGAAATCAGAAATTTCAAGATATTCCTTCATGTTGAGTATCGAACTCGCTGAAGTATCGAGATTTTAATATTTTATCGAGATTGTAAACAAGTTATGCAGGACATATACATAATATTATCAGTATTGCAACGATATGTATCATTTCTAAATACAAATAGACTTCATGCTTTTATTATCTTTAACCTTCGACCCTATTAAGGGTCAACCAAAAACAAAACAAAAAAAAAAACAAAAAAAAAACAAAAAAAAAAAAACAAAAAACAAAGCACATAACAATGAATCAGTTTTATAGTTACGTAATTAAAATCTACTTAGTGGTGTAAGAAACCCAGGAGAATTGCCTGTGTTTTTGGTTGTCAAAATGTCTGTTGAGTTCTTCATGTAAGACGTCACGAATTTATTTAACCCGTGGGTGGTTAGAAGCTGTTACGCAATACGTCACGTGGGAGGATACCATACCTGTGGTGGGACATGAATTATGATCATTACCATGGTGTATGGGAGCGGATGGTGAAACGTCATTGGGGTTGTAGCCTAGAGCACGTGGGTGGGATACGAAATGGTTTTTTTTTGTTATATCGTTGCATGCTGGGGGGGGGGGGGGGGGTGGTGGGTGGGGTAGGGAAATACGGACTGGTTTTTTGTTTTGTTGGTTATATTGTAGCCTGGGGGGTGGTTACGAACTAGTTTTTTGTTTTGTTGGTTATATTGTAGCCTGGGGGGTGGTTACGAACTAGTTTTTTGTTTTGTTGGTTATATTGTAGCCTGGGGGGTGGTTACGAACTAGTTTTTTGTTTTGTTGGTTATATTATAGCCTGGGGGATGGTTTTTTGTTTTGTTAGTTATATTGTAGCCTACGTGTGTAAGTGCCTCCAATGTAATGTGTATGGGACATATTGTGATGGTCGTCCCATCAAAATATCAGCGACGTGATGTTCGCAACATATCAGTCATATACTGTGATTACATAATATAGGTAAACGCTACTTTGTAATTACCTTATACCAATCAATCGATGGATTACAATAATGAACCCATTTCTTCGTCAAAGGGGCCTTCTGTTCGAAGCCCGTCTTGTCGGTTATCGGGACGCTATTACTACCAGACGATCGGAACATTCTGAAACATATATCACTTTAAAAAAAAACAACGGCAACTGTAATATAAAAATGCAAGCATCAATCCACAGCATAAAGTTATCAGAAACTCACAATGTTAAAATATGCCACATCATTCTTTATTATCTCACAAAAAATTTGACTCTTAATGCTTTGAAATTCAATTATCTTTTTTTTAAAAAAGCTTTGTTTTCCAAATTAAACATTCTAAATTCTGCTCATGTTTTTAATTTCAACTGGTCTCTATATTTTATTCTGCTTCTCCCTCACCCTTTGACTTCAACAAACGTTGGTATGTATACGATTTTTTCCCTAATTCATAAAACAAAAACAACTACTTTAAAGTTGAAGTCTCACCTCCCCCCCCTCCTCTTCCATACAATCACTGCACGTGAAGGCTATGTTGAGCTCACAGAACAGATCAGTGGGATTTGTTGTCTAATTTTATAACACCCCCCCCCCCCAAAAAAAAAATAACAACCAAAACAGGATAACGCACCTTCAATGCGCGTTTCCAATCATTCTTTTTGTCGGTTATAATTACATTTCAAAATGGCATAACGTAGTTTATTAAACTATTTTATTTTTAGAAAAAGAAAAGCAAAGCTTCGACCCAACAATAAAACAATTTGTAAACACACAAAAACATTCAGCCAGTTAAAGAATCAAAACACAAATTGATTTCCTGTCATTTTGTTTTTGTCGAGGCCAAATCCAAAATACCAACAAATTAATTCAAGCTCACCCAAGGCTTTGTCATCTTGTATGTTCGCCAACTATTCAAATGTTGATGAGCTGTTGTATATCCACTGACCATTCTAATGATGGTGAGATGTTGTATGTACGAAAACCATTCTAATGTTGGTGAGATGTTGTATGTCTACCGACCATCCTAATGTTGGTGAGATGTTGCATGTCCACCGACCATTCTAATGTTGGTGAGATGTTGTATGTCCGCCGACCATTCTAATGTTGGTGAGATGTTGTATGTCCGCCGACCATTCTAATGTTGGTGAGATGTTGTATGTCTACCGACCATCCTAATGTTGGTGAGATGTTGCATGTCTACCGACCATTCTAATGTTGGTGAGATGTTGTATGTCCGCCGACCATTCTAATGTTGGTGAGATGTTGTATGTCCACCGACCATTCTAATGTTGGTGAGATGTTGTATGTCCACCGACCATTCTAATGTTGGTGAGATGTTGTATGTCCACCGACCATTCTAATGTTGGTGAGATGGTGTATGTCCACCGACCATTCTAATGTTGGTGAGATGTTGTATGTCCACCGACCATTCTAATGTTGGTTATACTTAGAGCGCCTATGTCGTCAATACATGGACGGCCGCGCTATACATATCAACAAGGATCACTCGTTCATCTGCACACTAGAATCTGTAATTATTAATACAATCTTTTGTCACATTGACACTAAACAAATATCAAATAAACATACAACTGAAAACGAGCTTTGTAATTACGTAAGTCTTTAAAAAAAAGAAAAACCAATGTAATAATTAATAAGAGCATCCGTCTCCTACAGAGCAAGGTAACCTACAGACCATCCGACCGACATTCCTGAAAAAATGGATGTGGATCATCCTGCGAACGATCGTACGGACAAACCATGGCTTCAAAGTAAAAT